GGCAAATCAAAACTAATTCAAAACTCAATATGTATATATGCACAATGCAAGTAATAATTTAGACCCTATCTAGCGCGATTAATGAGAGCTGAAAGAATATTACACCAATCAACGACATCAGGTGACAACAGATGAGATAAATTCACCACTGGAAAGTAACCATCTTGTATCAAACGTTTTCTTTCCCTTCTCTTCAGGATAGTACAGGGAATGTTGGAAATTTGGAAAAACACATAACTATATACAAAAGAAAGAAGAAGTAAACACTTCAACATAGGCGATAAAATGATTAAAGTGTTAAAAACTCAAAAACGAAAGCTGCAAGTTTAGACAAACACGTTGAACACATCAGGGAACACTTGTCACACTTTCCCGAGGTGTGACACAAAACAACTGCAATGATAACACATTCTCCTTCTGTACACATAGTTCTGGATCTAGTTTATGAATATACAGAGCTTCTAACACAGCAAGATGTAACTTAGACCTTCCACGAGTTAAAATCGAAAAGATATCATCACTATTCAACACACGACAACTAGCACTGCCCGACAAATGACGCTTGATGGACGATATCCGATCACTCAGCTCTGTCACCTTCGACGTTTGCCGTTGTTCTCTTCTTTTGGGGTTGTTTGTTTGGTTGCTCCGGTTGACACCGGCAACGTCCGTTGAATTCATGGTGATTTTTTTTTTTGGTGTCACACCTCGTGAAAGTGTGACACGTGTTCCCTGATGTGTTTAACTTGATAGAAGGAAGTGTCTACTGAATTGTGTGGATTTGCGTTGTTGCATGCGAAGGTACTGATTACGAAAATGTTTTTTCACAGCCTCCAAACTACTGGTTGAAAAATAATAACAATAATAACAAAGAGTCAGCGTGTAGAAAGCAATTTGATGAGTGCAATAAAGAGTATAATAGATGCAGACATGGCCAGACAACAACGAGTTAATGGGATTTTAAAGGATTTTTTTGTATACATTACCCTCCGTTCCGATAAAATTCACTGAATAGCAGAACACGAAAATCGATTTTGAATAATAAAAATCTTTTAAAATTCTGTTAACTCGTTGTCTGGCCATGTCTGCATCTATTATACTCTTTATTGCATTCATAATAATAATAAAAACAATAATTCCACTCGGATGGTGAGCCAATTAAATTATGGTGGAAAAGGAGAAGGACAAAATGTCAGGTCGCCGAATGTCTCAGTACTCCTTGTCAGTTTTGTGCCATTTTGTCGCACTCGCTGACTTTATAAGATCTGGTTACATTGGTGGACAGTTAGTTATAACTCTTAACATTTAGTCTTTCTCCTTTTTCACCATAACATAATAATCTCCATTCGAGTTCATTTAACTTCATGTGCGAAAAAACAAGGATTGCCAGTGGAAATTGCTTCCCAATTTTCAGGGTACATCTCGCTTTGGCCCTGGCAGGAGTGTAGACAGCTTTTTTTGGCCACTTTCTCCGAATTTGGCCTGGGTTTAGTTTTGGACTGGAGAGTGATGGCAATGCCCCTTCTCCGGTTTTTCTGCTTCTATCCATCATTATAATTTTAGATAAGGGGCCGTCCGTAAATATCGAACTTTTTTCACCAAACGAATTATTTTAGTTTAGACCCAACCCCTCCCTCCCTCCCCCTCAGAACGTAAAAAAATGTTGAGATATACATGCGTATACAACAAAAGTCGCAAGTGTGTCAATGCTCCTACGGCCATGTACATGTATCGAAGTTTTCTGAAACGAAATTGGTCAACCCCCTCCCACCCCATAACGAAATTATTTCGTTTCGTGAAAAAAGTTTGATAATTGTGGACGACCCCTAAAGTAGATTAAATCCGCACAGATCTTCATAATGCATTTCCTAATAAGATTCTGTGTTTATACTCATAATGTTCTATTACTTCTTCCGTGTAGTTCCTCTGACGGGGAAGCAATTCTATTCTGTACAATTTCTGTGTGCAGCTGTATGTTCCCTGCCAGCAATTAACTATAGCAACACTCTGAGTGTGGTACCCCTCAACCTTACTGCTGATGGCAAGGCTTTAGGCTTTGAGATGACCTGTAAAACAGGGTATTCTCTCTCCGCTGTGAACTTTTCGTCAAATTGTTCCATGCCTGGAGGAAGCTTCGACTCCATACCCACGTGTGAACGTAAGTGGCTCCTGAGCACTGCATCGTGTAAGTTTGTTAATCCTTTCAGGACAATTACTGATTCCACATATTCCTGCCAGGGCACACGCTGACACGCTCCTCAGGCCGAGTATACAGCTGCAAAATTCTATAAGTTCACTCACCAGTGGCAGAATTTCTTCATCTTGGTCTCATCAGCACGCTACCTTGGCAGATCGCAGAATTTCTTCATATTGGTCTCATCAGCATGCTACAGATCTCCTCTCTCCAAATCATTCACTAGCTGTCCGGCAGGAGCAATAGAATTGCCTTCATGCCATTAGAGAGGTGCCACATGGCGCCTGAGTGAGATATTTGCCCACCTCGACAAATTTCTTCGGTGCTGAAGTTTTACTCAAGGCAGAACAATCATTCAAAGTTCTCCAGATTCGTGAAGTTCAACCAAATCCTTTGGGCTCTACTTTGCATGCACCATGCTACGATGACTCATAGGGGAAGTACCCGTTTGCGAGATACTGATAGATGCAAATCACTGCGCACGCAATTTGTCAAAAGGTTCAAGCGTATTTTCTGTTTCGCTCTTCGGCGTTCCGTGAATCCACATTGCACTATATCAAACAAAATGGTCACTGTGAAGATAATTTTGTCACCTTCCCAACGAGCTGTCATTTGCGATTTTGGGAGAAAGAACACAATAGTTACGATAATTTGAACCCTGGGGTATATGCACTGTACAAATGTATTCACTGTCAGGACAAGTATACTCGTCTTCGGGAATACAGCGTACATTTTGTGGACGAGTTAACTCGTCCGTGGTTCTCAAAGGGTTAATGAGCACTGCCATGTAGAACAATTCTGTCCTGAGTTGAAATACCCGCTCTAACCTCATGCACGTCTTCATGACATCATGACATCAAGTGGACATGGAGAATGAACCTTAGCACTTTCCACTGAATCTAAACAAGGAGGTAAAAGTGGGGTTGGCTTGATTAGAGGATGGAACGTAACGTTACACAGGTAACAAAGACATGTAAATACCACAGAATGCATTCCCGTTCCGACAAACACTGAAATCAAGAAGTATATGACTTTAAATATGGCAACCTCTTCCCTAAGAAAGGGTTTGCTCCCCACACTGGAGCTCGCACTATTCCGCCGACTTTACTTGACACTTGACTGACTCATGACTGCCATCCAGAGCACACGAGGAGTCCATCGAACCTTCGGCTCGGCAAAACTGCAAGAAAGCACCAGTCCCTGCTCAATACACAGTGTTTCGGGGAATTCACCCCTCATCAGTTGAGCTTGAGTAGGCTGAGGAAGATTGTGCCTGAAGAGCACCACTTATATAGTGCTCTCCAGGCACAAACATCACCAGGGATACAAACTTACAGAGACGCTCCGTTTCCAGCGCGATACACACCTCTTCCCTCTTCCCATTAATTTATGTTGTTGGAATGGGCCACAGCGATGATACCACAGGTGAATGACACTTGTGATTAGCTAGCTTTGGGAGATATTTTGTGGAAAATATAAAATAGAATGTGCTTTCTGCTTCCTTCTTGTCACTACAATTGTCGCGTCCCAAAGCGATGCATTTTCTTCCACTTGAAGCAAAGGAATCAGATCAAATTTGAGGCAGAGCATTGTGGATAGACTAAGCATGGGTGTGTGGCCTCCTACCTCACTGCCCCGGCAGCTGGTGTCGACGTCTCCACCAGAGTATGAGGCAGACTCTTAAGCATTCGGCAAGCCGCTGAATAAGTCTCGTGTTCAAATTCAGGGCTTGAAACTTCTTTTTCAAGCGATCCATGTCTCCAGGCGGCAGGCGAGGGTATCAGCAAAATTCTGGCAGAAGTATCCCTTAAGAGAGCATGTCTGATAATACCAAAGTATGTTTGCAAGTGGATCTCTCCGATTTCGCTCAAAATTTGCAGGTAGGTTCCCTTTGGGGTGTGGATCGATTGTGCGAAGCACTTGAAAAAGTTTGTGAAGGGAACCTTGAAATTTGCATACCCCTCAAAAATGGCCGAAATATCACATTATTTATGGGTCTAGAAACGAGTCACGCCACAGCGTATACGAACAAGCTATGAACAAAACTCCATCAAGCCAACATTGCCTCACCTTAGAAGAGTTACTGGAGTAGTACGGCTTATCCACGCCAGCATCCCAGAAGACGAGGTCCATCACCCCCTGACGCCACAAATGATCGTCTTGAAAATAGTCTTTACAAGCGCTGGCAAAACAGCCAGCTACGTCCTCAATTGGCCAGAACTATACACCGGCAGATAGTAGAACACCTCTTCTAGCGCTGAGGACATGTCCCCCATCTTCCTTTTGGGGTTTTCTTGAAATATACATTTTTTGAATTTTTCCACTCGACCATGCTGAAATACGGCCAAAGTCATACCTGCGCAGGAAAGCTCGCCCCTCCGCAACGTCTCCTCAGCAATTTCTACTCCAACACTACTCCCAAGGCCGCAGAACGCAGTGAAGTATTGACTCTGACAAGGAAAAGCAGCGGTGATCACTTGTCACTCCAAACGACAAGCTTCTCCTTGCGCCACCAAAAATTTTTTGTGCGACTGTTGATGCAAAAGTGACTGAAGGCCTGAGCGGAGTTTTTGAATTTGATTGCTTGTGTTAGTGAGTAAGAAGCCTCTTTTGTTCGGATTCAACATTGGCGCCCAACGTGGGGCTCGAATCCACGACCCTGAGATTAAGAGTCTCATGCTTTACTGTAGGATTACGCTGTGTAGAACAAAAAATTATGGGAGTGATGCTGTTTCGGCACGGGATTTCATTTTTTTACGTACAAGTGAGAGTTGTTGTATCGAGAGCAAACCTGCACCTGAAGATGATGGCCATTGCATTCCTGGATGTAGCCATTGTTCAGTGTAAGGGATGAAATGAAGACTAGCGAGGTGAGGTAATGTGGACATGGTGGTGGTAGTTTGTTCTTAGTTCCGTTGCGTACGCTGTAGCAGCCCTCGCCTTTCGTCCCTAAATTATGTAGTATTTTTGGCCCATTTCGAGGTGGTCCTCAGTTCCAAGGTGTTAGTGAGTTGTGCAACCAATCCTTTTGTTGGGTTTTTTAAGACCCAAAAAAAAACTATCAGCAAAAGTGTGAGCGAAATCGAAGTGATGGCCCGAAAAAGAGAGAGGAAAATAATTACACCGAGGTACTTCAGTAGTGAATGGCCAGTTTGTTTGTTTTTGAGTCTTGAAGACAAGGGGCAAGTTACGAGAAAAGGAAAAACTGAACATTCAAGGTGTTTCAAAGAATCCTTGCCATGTATCTGGTTTTGTTCTGTTGTGCACACATACTTTATGCAGCTGAATGTTCGGTGTCGAAAATAGACAATAGTGAGCGTGTGGTTGCAATCAATGGTGATGCTGGTGGAAAGGCACATGGCTTTAATGTGACATGCAAAGCAGGATACGCTCTATCCAATATGGGTAAATCACCAAAGTGTTCCACACCTGGTGGAAGCTTCGACTCCATCCCCACATGTGAACGTAAGTGGTCTTCACCTATCACTGTAAATGAGCATTGCAGCGGTTGTAACTAAATCAATTTCTTGACCATTCAACAAACCAGTTCAATGCTTGTGCAGGGCTCAACCAACTTCCTGGAATTCATGATCATGACGTGCCTTACCAGATGTGCAGAATACCATCATCCATCCATCAACAAGGCATCCAGGCTGCATCACATCTCGGTTATATTTCCAAGTTTCTGCTCAATTCGAAACTTTTGCAGGCACAACTTATGCCTATAAATTACCTATGCCTATCTCCTGCTCGGGCTTACCGGGTGTTAGCGGCTGGTGTAAGTGCACTTTGGGAACGGACACGGTAATTCCCTTTAATTTATCTACTTTACTATGACCATTCCAATGAGTTGGAGCATTCATGCAGCTATGAACATAACATTATCTTGAAGTGCTGCATCATCCTAGATGACACAGAGTTTAGCCTCTGCTCTTTCCATGTCAAGGCGAGTGAGGAGAAACATTGCTTCTCCAGCAAAAGACTCATAGCAGGCATAGCAAGCCGTGGAATGTTTCCTTGCGCCATCATTTGAAAGCGGCCCATTCCGTATCACAATAAGTTCAGTTTTCGGTCCAACCGATTGCTTTCTATGTTGACAATCATGTACTGTTGACTATGAGTGTACCATATTTGTCTGGTCACATGCTGTGTGTCTTGCTGTAGTGCTGTCAATACCCACTGGAGAAACTTCTAATACTGGTGCTATTGCTGCTGCTGTTTCGGTAACCATACTTGTCTTGGTTGGTGGTATAGTTGGCCTCATACTCTTTGCACGGCATTCTCACCCTGATAAGCTGCTGAGGGCAAAGAAAAACCTGAATACGGCCAAGAGACAGATGCAAGTCAAGATCGGAATCTCAAGGAAGTCAAATCGTGGGGGTACAAACAATGGCCAAGACAGTAAGTTGTAACTTTGTCCACATCAGATATGGCGATGGAAGGTCTTGCTTGTTCAAAGTCACAACTTTCTTATCTCAATAAGTTGATATACTTTGGTCGCTAGTAAGATGGTGCACTAAGAACAGTACTAATATTACAGTTTCTGACATGTCACAAGACTGTAGGCACGGAAATGACCAATCGCATAGAACCTAGCAAGGCCTAAATGAGGCGATCAAGGCATGCTAGAACTCAATATTTAGTGGAGCGGGCTTTGATTTTACTATCAAAGCCCGTTCCGCTAGCCTTTGATTTACTGATCAAGCCCGGTTGTTTTACTCGAAAAGGTTGGCTCATGCTTTCAAGCGTGAAAGGAAGATTGAAGTGCGTCTTCATGTCAGAAATCCAATAAAAATAGTCGTGTTCAGTTTCTATCAGCCAATCACAGCCATTCGCGAAGTATTTACAAGTGGCAATCAGTTCGATATGAGTTTACAAGCGTGGATGTATGTCAGAAATGTAATCGAAACACTCGTACTCGTGTTCGATCACCCTACATCATAGCTAATCGCACTTCGCGTGGCGGGCTGTGAATAGACGATCTCCATCCAACCCCTGCCTGATTCTCTGGTGACACGTTAACAAACGCTTTGGTGGGCATCACGTATCAGTGTGAATAGACCAGTGTAGAAACGTTCCTCTGCCCAAGATTCCCCCCCCCCCAAAAAAACCATGCACCGTGGGAAAGGTCTTGAGCTCAGCTTTCCACAGGTATAAACATCTTCGCTATAGGATGACTGAGCGGCGGCAAAATGAACGCAAAAATCACAGCCGTAGGATCCTCCCAATTAGGAAAAGTTCAAAGAGATTCCTAACCCGAGCCTTGATGGTTTGTGCTTCGTAGATCTATTAGAGTTAGGTGTCAGGTCATCAAATGTCTCAGTACTCCTTGTCCCTGGTACGAGTCCTGGTGGTGACAGTCAATTGTTTCTTCAGACTTTTCCCGTTTACCTCTTTCCCTCAAACCAATGAAGATATCAGAATGGAATTTTTTTGGAAAGGCGACAAGGAGTGGACAAATAAAGTGATGCAATGAAATGATTTTTTTGTGCAGTCATGTCTGTACACACACACACACATGCACGCATGCACGCGCACACACACACACACACACACTCACACGCACACGCACACACACACACACACACACACCCACACACACACACGCACACACACAAAGCAAAGTAGCAATGTTTGTATCCAGAATGTGTCTTCTGGCATTCTTCGGTGGAATATCATCACTGATCTGTTACATGAAATAAAACAGAGAGAGGTTCCAGTTTGGTTCAAATAAGAATGAAAAAATGCTCCAAAAATTGCGCAGAATACACAAACAAATACTCAAATTTACTCAAAATCAGACAAGCTGAATCGACATTAATTTTGTGTATACTTTATTCATGCAATGTGAAACGGTGGAGACAATGTGCAATAAAACAATGACAAAAAAAGAAATAGTGTAGAGAAAAACTAGGATTCAAGCAAGCTTTCGTACAACACTTATCAGGAATCATCGTTGCACTAAAGAGTCTTGAATCCTGAGTTTTCTCTACACTATTTCTTCCTATTTTTCATCATTTTATTGCACATTAGCTCCACTGTTTTATATTGCATGAATAAAGTATACACAAAATGTTCATTCAGCTTGTCTTACTGATTGCGGTTATCAAATTATTGTCTCCTCGCCGTTTGTTTAAATTACTCAAAAATCACGCAAAAAGTAGAAAATGGCCGAAACCGATGAAAACCCGCAAAAATAAGGCAAATGAGAGAAAATTAAGGGAAACTGGGTTTGTGACTAAGGGATTGTCTTTGGCTGGGTTGGCAAGTATTGCAGGATTTCATTCTCAGGTTCTAATAATTATTATTTGCCCTTGCATCAACCCGCATACCGAGCCACAACCAAGCACAATGACTACATTCATGCGGTGTGTGCAGGTCTGCTGCACAAGACTTCTTGCCACAATCAGATACAATCAGATAGCAGTACCAGCTCAGCAGTAATCAAACTTATTAAACCTAGAACTCAAGTAACCACGAAGAAATAAAAGAAATAAAAAGAACAATCCGGAACACATAGCCAGGGGTCAGGCTAGAATAACTGAATTCAACAGTTGGGATAAGAAACTAAAGTTGTGTATAGATTTTTTTCCTATGGTCACATACCCAACTCATAAATAATACAGAAAGACAATGGTACTGAGACAAGGACAAACGTGACAACTACTGAGAAGGGGCTGCACCGAGATGCAGCAGTGATGGTGGGGTCCTGATGGCTCTGCCGACCTGAGGTCTCGGCATCACGGCCAGAAACACGCACCAAAAACAAAAGATAGAGCTGTAAGGGTCAGCAAAAAATAAAAAGAAAGCAAGGGCAAATAACAGCTAGTACTAGTGTGCAGCACATTCGTAGCAATGGGAGTCGTTGACGGGGCACTAGAATGTAGGTGGGTCGACAGGCAGAATGTCCGTGGACCATCGCCAATCCTGTCGGCGGAGGTATTCGTTGATGTTGCACTTAAACCTTTGAAGATTTTTGCGAGTTGGGGCGGAGTCTAGAAAAGCTGGCGGGAGGGAATTCCACAGCTGGATTGCACAATGTGGGAAGCTGCGAAGAATGGTGTCTGGTGCTTGACGCGGTAGGGGATTTCGTAGCTGGTAACTGTGGCCGGCGGCCATGTGGAGATCGTTTCGAGTGCGAGTGGCGTCACGGGGAGGACTGCTAGCAATTGAGTCGGACCGGTGATGAAATGTAGTTTGTACGTGTATGTTAATGCAGCAACGTATCGCCGTAGGCTGAGGCTCTGGAGCTCCGTCCCGGGACCAATGATGCGCAATGCACGGCTTTGGATGCTATCTAGGCGTGCAAGATGGGAGGGAGCAGCTCCCATCCAGACGAGCGGAGCACACTCCAAAACGGGCCGTACACACCCCTTGTACACCGTGAGGCGGCCTTATCGGGAGAGATAGGGCGCAGCTCGCCGCAGGAGGCCCAAACGCTGTTTGCCACATATCGATACTGCGCGGATGTGCTCCGCGAAGAACAGCTTCAGATCAAAAGTCACCCCCAAGAGCTTTATTGTGGATGACTCTGGCACAGGGTTGCCTCCAAAGAGGAGAGAGGGCAAGGCTACCTGCGCTCTTTGAAGCGTGACTGTCATAGCCTGGGATTTCGACGGCTCAAACGCTACACGCCATTCCTTGCCGCAGTCTGACAGACGATTGACGGTGTCCTGAAGCAAGGCAGCAGCAGTGGGGAGGTCGTTACGGAGAAGAGTGTACAATGTCGTATCGTCAGCATAGGCTTCCAGCTGCGTGATCCCAGCAAGGCATGTTGATACGTCGTTAATGTATAATGAGAAACATGGTTGGCCCCAAGATGCTGCCTTGTGGTACTCCCGCCTTGATGGGGTATGGACGGGAGGTTGCACCACCGACAACACACTGTATATTTCGGTTAGACAGGTACTATGTCAGCCATGCAAGGAGGATTCCTTGAATGCCACATTGCTGTAGCTTGAAGAGGACAACTGCGTGAGAGACCTTGTCGAAGGCTCCAGCAATGTCAACTGCAAGTACGCGTGCTGCACCCCACCGTCCGATAGAGGATGCCCACGAGTGGTGTAGCGCAGTAAGAGCGTCGGCTGTACCCAGATTCCGTCTGAAGCCAAACTGATTCGCTGCAAGCAGTGAGTTACCCTCGAGGTAGTCCGTAATTTGCATGTTGATAATGGTCTCCATTGCCTTGGATATCACACTAAGGAGAGATACGGGGCGGTAGTTCTTGAGCTGTGAGCGAGATGAGCGTTTATGCACAGGAACAACATTGGCGAGCTTCCAGGCCTGAGGTTGGTATCCATGCCGGAAGCACAATGAGAAAAGCTTGGTCAGGACCGCTGCGATCACGAAAGCGCATTCTTTCAGGACACGGGGGGGGGGGGGGGATTTTGTCCGGCCCCGTGGCTTTCGACGCGTTGAGACGGCGCAGGAGGCGGTGAACATTCTGGATGCGGAAGTGGACGTGGGTGAGTGGTGGATGTGGGTGAGCAGGCGCTGGGGTTCCAAGGGAGGCACCATGTAGGTCCTGTCATCCAGGCTGCACTTGCCAGCAAAGAAGTGACCTAGAATAGGTTGCTCTTACCTGTGGTGAGCAGCATGTGGCCGGTAGAGGATGGCTAGTATCGAGGTAAACAGAATAGCAATGTGCGTGGGTGGGGTTGGGTTTTTGTACACTTAGTGAGAAGAAAAACAACGAACTGCAAATCTATGCAGACACACTTCTTCGCAGCAAAAAATCCCTCATACCCTTCGGGGATCTAGACCTGCTAGAATCCAAGAAGGAGGAGGCCTTTTTTTATCACATAATATATGCGTCTAGGGTTTCGAGCTTCGTACCTCTGGAACCGCACGTCGAAGCGCTTCAGTGATTCCGTCAATGAACAGCTGGGAGTTTCTCTTCGACCTACATAATTATTATAGTTTTTGGAAATAACCCAGAAATGACTGAGTGAAGATCGATTGACATTTCGAAAAGTTTCGATCCCAAGGGATCGAAAATTGTACTGTCCGTACCCAAAAAGGTTTAACCTCCCTGGCATTGAATGTGCGTTATTGCATGCACTTTATTTTCCTTTGTACAGGTTCGCCAACAGATGCCAAAGATGACTACAAATATCTTCAAAGTTCCCAAAGCACCACTGACTCTGATGCCTATTTGAACGCTAGGCGGACTACTGAACATGAGCTCTGCACTTTTCCTGAACGAGATTTAGCATCTAATGTGACTTCGAGTGGAGCCCAGGAAACATCGTCAACCCCTCAGCCCATCACGTCAGAGTATTCGAATTGCAGTAACATCACTTCCGGCGAGCTAAGCGTCGAGGTCGAAACAGGAAAGGGTGTCGGTGGGCTGGGTCAGGTGAAGGAAACCAACGTATATGAGAATGGTGTCATCTAGAAAGAGGCCAATGAAGGACACTGTAACCTAGGTTAACCGATCAACAGCCCAATGAGCTTAATTGACTGTCCTGAGCCTTTGGGCACTGAGTGAATGCAATTGTGATCTAGCCACCGAATTCAGAGCTCCACTCACACCACTCGGAACAACAATTTTCCTTTTGGTGCAGTTGACAGTGACTGGATGGACATGGGATGAAGGATTCTGGTCCGCCACTCAGGTGAACCAGAAAACGGATTTTCCTGGTCACCCCTTCCAGCTGTTCTAGAAGTCTTGTATCTTGTCCTCTGAACCTCTTCCAAAATTGTTTTCTTTTCCTTGCTTCTGTTTGTATAAAATTAAAATACTTGTAAATTTCACGGTTCGCGTGAGACTAGGCTGGGAGCCGAGTTTTTTGCATCCGCCGTGGGAACGCCACCACCCTCTAGGATCAAGGCGCAGATACAGCGCCTAAAGGGTGGGAGGTGAATAGACCAGACCCACCACCAAGTGGTCAACGACCAAAATCCCATTAGCTGCATCCATTTTTGTATATCGATACAAAAGTTCTCTTTATCTTTTCTGCCTCTCTCTATGCCAACATTTTTGCGTCGGTTACCTCCTAACATTATTTTCTTGATATAACACTGAGTTTCCAGGCATACTTCATCTGCATTGTAGTGACAGAAAACTGAAGAGGAGTCGAACCAGTTTACTTGTTGGCAAAAAAAAGGCTTTTCCGATTGCTCTGGTCTGAGAATGCTCTGTCTTGCTGAGTATGACGCCCTTTGTCAACGGATAAGGGCTTCAACAGCAGAGAAATTAGAATCTCTCCTTTATTCACTCCTTTCGAAGACGATAAGCCACCTACGGGAAGATTATTCAATGGGCGGGACACACAAAAGAATGTGAAAATAATAAAGCTAGAAAACAAAAGGATAAGAAATAGGGAAAGGAGGATGAAGAAAGGAAAGAACCTCAATCAAAGCTCCAATATTGCGTCTTTCCCTCCAACCATTGAATAAAACTCCAATATCAAAACAATAATAAAGGATTTGCAGCAACAGGCATTCTACAGGTGATAAGGACGTTGAGACGGGTCAAAGCTCGAAACTTGCTGATCCGAACGTTGTTATGGGGATTATCATTTCATTGGGATTCGGAATGGGTATGACAGTGTATACCTGAGGTTTCTACATTGTAGAGTCCGCTATGAAGTAGCACAAGGAACAGAAAATGGCGCTATGACTTTAGTATGGCCCATGTTGGTTGAAACCAAGTGAAAAAGCATAAACTGGCCAGCGCCAGAGTTAGAAACCAAAGTACATCAACTACTTGTACTAAATGGTGTTCTATTTGTGGTATAATCTCGAGTTGCTATTACACCGGAAAAATTTGTATCAGTCTCAATCCCGGTTAGGATTGGTGGTTACAAATATTTGATAACTTTATGATTATTACCTAAGTCTCTTGGGCAGTTAAACATGAAAACGCAGCAAATGTTCTCCTACATGTTCAGGACATTTCCCAGAACCTCGCAAGGTCTCTTGTTTCACGTAAAGCCAGGTTTCTTCCCAGTTTAGCATGAACACATGAGTAGTCTCTCCCACCATTCACCAAGCGTCACAGCGCACCAACAACCACAGGGATCACATCAACCTTGGTGACGGACCAAATTCGGGCAATCTCCCACTTCAAGTCATAATATTTTGAGCGCTTTTCAGCCATTTTCTTATTGATACGGTTCTCACCAGCACATGGGTGATGATGTATGCCGTGCGCTCCTTTTCATCAACAAGGAAGTGTTCTATTATTAATAAGAATTGACAGGCTACTGAGACATTCAACAACCTGAGACTTAGCCTTAACACATTTTCAGCTTTCCAACTTGGGAGGTTGAGGGTTAGGTAGCAATGAAGAGGGCGATGTGTGCACAATGAAAACGTGCACAAGCAAAGGTCCAAGGCAGCACAGAATGCCGAATGGCACAGCACGATGACGAGACCAGTTAATACGGAGGATTAGCAAGACGAAATTCGCGCTCATGTTCGCACACCGAGGATAATCGAACTCAGTGACGGACTTCGTGTTATGGGAAGGATTAGCAAGCAGAAATCAACATTGTGTACAGACAGTACAGTGTAGTAAATTTATGACTGTCCTGACACGAAACCGCGATTCGTGTTTCGACTTCTTTTCCGACGGCGAAAAGGCGAAAGTTCGCAATCCAGTTCGCGAAGCGAACAATGTTTTCGGCTTGCTAATCCTCCGTATTAATATGACAATGCGGTCGAACTACAATTCAAAGCAACAAAGCAAAAACCCACCCGACTTGGGTGGGTCAGCATTATCAGAGGTAAAGGATGGGAAGGTTTTGCGAAAACGAACTGAACAAAATCTGATGCCAATATTTTAACGGTGCTCCTCAGACATGACACCGTATTGTGGACGAGTACACTACAATAAGAAGTAGTTTAATTAACACGGCGTACATTTCACCGTATTGTTTGTGACGGATCCTCAGATGTGCAAACTTTTTAACTCGGATACGGAGCCAATAAGAAATTACATAATAGAAGAAAAACACATGGAAACGAGTTATGAAGCAACTATCCACGACTGTAACAAGATATTAAGCGGTCGGAAAGTGCGATAACAGGGCACAAAACTGACAGGCTACTGTGACATTCAGCGACCTTAGACTTAGCTCTAACACATCTACAGCTTTCCAACTTGGAAGATTCACAGTTAGGTATGAGCAAATATATTCGCACAGGTCACATCGTACAGTGCAGATCACCTAGTGCTTTGAACAATAGTTGTACTTTCACATCATGAGAATTTGGTATAACCCCACACCCGTCATAGTTGAAAATTCGATAACACTAATATGCGGCGTGGATTTCCCAAACACTATAATTGTATTTTTGTTATCCTCTCCCATGCCGTTGTACATAAGTCAATACTACTTCAATACTTTGACCGAATAGGACAAAGTGAGTGAAGCGAAAACGTGCACAAGCTTAAGTCCCATCATAGCAACAAAGAATACCGAATGTCACAGGACGAGGATGAGACCATGTACCAGTTCAATTAATAACATGACAATGCAGACCGGATTGTCATGCTATTAATTCAACTCGTTCTCGTCCTGTAACATTCGGTATTCTCTGTCTCGTCCTCCTACTATTTGAAGCAGCAAAGCAACACACCACCCAACTTGGGTGGGTCAGCAATATCAGAGATAAAGGAAGCGGAAGCTTTTCGAAAACGAATCCTACAAAGCCGGGCCCCGAGATCTAACGGTTCTCCTCGTGCATGACACTATTATGGACAGGGCTACCTAAGCGTGAACCTTCCAAGTTGGAAAACTGATGGCACGCGCACTGAAGATGTTTAGGGATTAAGTCCCAGGTCGTTGAATGTCTCAGCAGCCTGTCAGGTTTGTGCCCCGTTATCGCACTCTTTGACTGTTTATTATGTTGTCATAGTCGTGGATAGAGTGTCAGGTATTGCCCTGCGCTGGTTGGCCAGCTACCTCTCGGGTCGAACCCAACGCGTCTGTGCGGGAGTGCATACTAGCTCTACATCATCGCGCACAAGTGGTGTCCCCCAGGGTTCGGTGCTGGGTCCCATTTTCTTCAGCCTTTATATCCAGGAAGTCCCCGCCGTAGTTGGCCAATCCGAATCGAGTCAATTCGCGAACGATTTTGCGATCGTATGAAGCCGGAGGTCAGCACAGGAAGTGTCCACTATTTTATCTGCCTCGGTTTCAACCCTCTCTGACTGGCTGAAAGATCGAGGCCTGATCCTAAATGCTGCAAAGAGCCAAGTCGTGCCGATCCCTGCCGGCCGTCAGCTCACCACAGACTTACAGGTCGTCTGCAATGGCACTCCATTGCCTAGTGCGCTCACTGCTCGCTGTCTTGGTGTAAGGATCGACTCCTGCATGTCCGGGCACGCCCACATTGCCAAATGCTCCGCATGCGTTTCCCAGAAGATCAGGGCGCTCTGGAGAACACGTCGCTATCTGAACCACCAGTCATGCATGACGTACTTCAAGTCACTGATCATGTCTGACCTGCTGTATGCCTCCAATGCGTATTCGAGCTCCCTGCCACAAAAGTACCTTGGTCGTCTTCAAGTCCTCCAGAATATTGGGGTTCGGGCGGTATTCGGCCAACCCCTCTGGTGCTCCGCCCGCGCTCTGCTAGAGTGCGTGGAAATGTTCCGTGTGGCAGAAGTATTCACCCAGAAGCTCGTATACCTTGTGTGGCGCTGTCGATATGCCCTGGGAAGTTCAGAACGACAAGCCTTGCTCGCTCCCGCTGCACCTGGCCATACTCCGCTCCAATCGGTCATGGGCCTGTGTGTGCCAGTTTCCCGTTCCCGTTCTGCAGTAGGTCAGGGGCGCTTTGCTTGCATGGGTGCAGTGCTATGGAATTCACTTCCTGGTAACCTCCGTGTCATTCATCACGCCCAGCAGTTCCGGACGCAGATCATCCCCTACACACTGTAACTGAGGAAAAGCAAATTTTCTGTTGATCCCTTCCACACACGATCTCTCTACGTTATAACATTTCAAACTCTCATTCTCATTCTCTTGCTCGTTAAACGTTAATATTTTCTCCTTATTCTCCCTATAGTGCAAGGCCTATGCGTGCTTCAAGGTGATTCTGCCCGTAATTACATTGTCACACCATCCACAGTCAGAATGTTACCTTTATTTTTACTTCACCATAGGTACAGGCATTGCTGCCTTCTTGCTGTAGATCATAAATGATGCCACAGCTCCTAGGCTATGATGAAAAATATCATAGTATGATAGATTAATATGATCAAATATGAACAGCATGGGAAGTAATAAGATGTCATGACTGTCATCAGGACAATTATAAAAAAATACCATGCAGCAGTGTATTTTATGTGTGTTGTGGTTGTACATGTAGATAATATTGATGATGGACAGGGGACAAAACGTAATAGTGTGTCAATAGCTAATGGAGTGAAGTGAGATCAAGATCTGAAAGGGATTTATTTTAATGAACAAGGTTTGTTAGAGAGCGGGTATCATCGGGTAAAGAGTTCCATGTGGTGCTGCCCAGAAATTGGATAGAACATCTCCCAGCAGGATTGG